AAAACCTTTCCACGACTCAGACTCCGTGTAACTATATCCCTTTGTCTCAATGTCTAGACTTAATGCAAGGGATTAATAAAATCCAGCTTGTATCCATTAAGTCATTCACTGATTTATCAAGTCTGACTAATAGGAACAGACGTCATAAAAACATCTCAGCATGGCCATGCAATTTCCTCAGTCATGACTTATCAGTGGGCCCCATAAGACATTAATCTCTTTTAAAAAGAGTAGTGACAAATCCTATGTACGTAATCTACGTTTCTGAATACGCGCTGTGGCATACCCAAAACAAAGCCTGTATACCATCATTATTTCATATGGCTTAGGACGATGCATCAAAGTATGCGGGTTCACATATACAGAAAACGTAATACTTCAAGTCGAAGGATAGTTACACCCGTGGTCGCGCTAAAGATACTTAGAGCATGAACTAAAAGTTCAAGCAACATTTTTAGGATGGGTCAATCCGGCATCCTATTATCTCCAGATAATATCTGCCCATGTGCGGATGCGAACACACCGTCATTGACTATGAGACTAAGTCAAACATCCAACACACACTAGTCTCACATGCATTAACGATATCCCACTCTCGTTAATACTCGACTAATGACATTTAGATAAATATTTATTTCAAGATGTTAGTCTCATCAGCAGAAAAACACTATCTGATAAACATCTTTTAAATATAAATCTAGGAATATAATATTTGTTTACATTAGCATGAGATGTGTAAACATATTATATCTGCCTATACATGATAGAATAATAATAAACAGTTGGCCATCAGGGCACAACTCCAACATAATGTGGTAACACCTTGTGAGAGAAGGTTATACCATGACGGATAGACGTGGCACCAGTGGATGATAAGCTTCCAAAAGTTAGCTTGAGTTGATTTAATTTGGACATGTGAGACAATAAGGTGATAGAAATGATTAATTATAAGAAGGTCAGGAGATAAGACCCATGATTTATTATGTCCTTGCGATGAGACCTTAGATAGAAGTCTTTGAAAAGTTAGGATTAGAATAGTTGGATATATACTTACGTATGTATTGGAGGGTAGGTGATAGTTGATGCATTTTTTGTTGTATGCTTTGTATGTTAGGCATTTTTTTCTTGTAGTGCTTCCCTTCTTTAATTGTACTTTTCCCATGCATTGTCTCCTTCCACGTACTTTGCGTCTCTCTATTCTACACTATGTGCTTTTTTAATATTTTATTATTGGTGCTGCAAGAGCCAAGGATCTCTTGGAAACATCATTTTTACTTTTAAATAGATGCGAGATCTGTATACACACATCCTTCTTAGACTCTACAATTGTGACATCCAATTGGGTTGTCATTGTTGTTGTAACAAAAGTACAACAATGACAATCATATACTCCCTCCGTTCATTTTTTATTTTTCCAGTTACGATTATAGTTTTTTCGATAACTTATATTTGCTTGCATATTTTTATTAATCTTTTGATAATATAAAAAAATCTTGTCATAATTATTTTGTAGAATTTGTTACGTAGTTTTAAACAATGTAATTTTTACTTTTTTATATTCTAATTTATAAATAAATTAATTTTAAAAAGATATAAATTTACATGTTTGAAATGGGAAGTTAAGAAATGGACGGAGGTAGTAATAAGCAAGATTGGACATCAAATTAAGCTTCAAAGTTTGCGCTTTTAGCAATAACAAACACTCAATTACTAAATGGGACGGGCTTTGGGCCCAGTGACATGAAGTCCGAGCCCAAGTTCGAGTTTATTTATTTACTGTAAAAGATTTACCGAGCATAATCCGAAGAACTGATTGTTGAATGACAATTCAAGATTCCCATGAGCAAAATATTATTTTGTCCGAGTGCATGTGATAAACATTGAGCTTCAATTAAACAGAAACTGCAATCTATTTTTAAAATAAAAATGATTTTATTAAATTTATCGTATTGAGAACTTTCAAAATTGTATTACATTATACAAATATGCAATACAAATTAAGAGTGATCGAAGTTCAAAGTTTATTCAGTTTGACTCGCAAAAGTCAAACTAGACAAATACACAGAGATAGATAGATAGTTATAGTACAAGTTTACAACTCCTATCATACCATCTTCATTACAAATCAAACGTAATAATTAGGTAGTACATTTTATTTAAGATAATTCGGTAGTAAACATGTTTATTTAATGTAATTAATAAGATGGGAAACTTAATTTAATGGATGACGATTGTATTGGTCCTGGCATTACAAGGACCTCCGTTTGAGCACGAAAATTTGTGGAATAGAGCCAAGGCATTGCCGGTGAGCTGCTTAACCAGCGCCATCTGACCCAGCACGGCGGCTTTGAGGTTCATATCCGCCACCTTCTTCTCCAGCCCCGCCGTGCACATTTCCTGGTCCGTCAGGGCGGCGTCCATCCACGCCTGGACGTCGCCCAACGCCGCCGCCTTACCGGCGGCGCTGATCGCTTTCAATGCGTTGGTAGAATTCTCCATCTCACCTATGGAGCTTACCAAGTAGGTGTTCCAACAGTCCTGTGTCATAATCATTTTTTCCAAAAAAATATTAGGTTTATAATAAAAAATATTTGCACTGAATTGCAGTAAAACCTAAATCAATTCTCAATGAGGATTCAAATTTATTTATTTCTTAAATAACACTTAATAATGTCTAGAAGGAAGAATAATGTCCAGTAATAGTGAACATTTTATTAAATAATGACCAATGGATGATGACTAAAAGTATTACGGAGTATATTGGAAAATAAAAATATATGATGATATTTAGAAAAAGTCATTATGTTTTGGTGCTATTTAAGTAAATTCCTCTTATAATAACCGAAGAAGAATGAATAGATATTGTTTTTATGCTCCAAGGCACCCCGAAAACCAAGTGGAGACTTTCCCAAATGACAGATTCCATCATGGTGATTTTCCCCAATGAAATTCGAACTCGTGACTTCTAGGTAAACAAGTTTCTAAGTAAAACAATGACATTATTTTGCCGCAAAATATAGAAAAAGTATATTTATTTATAATGTAAATTTAGTAAAATTAGATTTATTTTAAAATGTAGTTTTGAAATATCAAATTTTATACTCCCTCCGTCCCTAAATAAAGTTCCATTTTTGACCTTTTGAGGATTTAAGGGAGGAATATTTTGGTGTTGACTTTCCAAAAATACCCTTGATCTGATGTGTTAAATTAAGATATGATAGGTAGATTATTAGTAAAAAGGTATGATGTGATAGGTAGGGTATGAAAAGGTAAGGGGTAAAAGGGGGTTTTAAGGCAAAAGAGAAGTTTATTTAGGGACGAAGAAAAAAAGAAAGAAGAACTTTATTTAGGGACGGAGGGAGTAATTTTTAATTATTTTAAATTATATTTAATTCAGAGTAAAAAAAAGTATCAGAACAAAAAAGTTCAATTATAACAAATTTTGAAAAATGGAAGAGGGAATATATATTTAAAAAACTACAAGTGTAAAGTTTTTTAAAAAGACGACAAGTATATACTCCCTCTGTTTCTTAAAACCCTTCCTCTTTCATTTTTTTTTCTTAAAACAATTCCCTTTTATGTTAAAAAATCACTTTTACCCCTACTTTTTCATACCCTACCTATCACATCATACTTTTTCACTACCAACTAAACTATCACATCTTACTTTTACCCATCACATCAAGGGCAAATTTGGAAAATCAACTACAATTTAACACTTCCTTATTTTCCACCAAAGTCAAAAGAGGAACTCTTTTGAGAAACGGAGGTAGTATTACCTTGAGGGCATTCACGGCAATTAGGTCGGCGCCGGCGGAGACGTTTTTCTTCATATAAGTGACCACGGAGTTGGTTTTATCGTGGGTGACGTCGATGGCGACCCGAGCCAGGACGGCGAGATCTCGCTTCACGGCGCCGGCGAAGGGGGAGAGGTAGCGGACACATAAGGACGGGTTCGGTAGTACTACATCTCTGGCATTGCAGGTTGCTTCGATGAACTGGGTGTCTTCTTTAGCGCCGGCGCCGGCGGCGCGTGACGGCCGTGAGTGGACGGAGGAGAGTGCGAGGAAGATGATTAGTGAATTAATGGAAAGTGTAGTTTTCATGGTTTTTTATTTCTATATTTTGTCGTTTGAAGAATTTTTGGACGGAGAATTATGAAATGATTGAATTGGGGCGGCAAATGAGTGGCGCCGGTGGGCGGTTAAATAGGCGGGGGTGGTGGGTGAATCTTCTTGATTTGAAATTACTCTTATACCCTCATCACCAAGTTCACCTCTCCATCACATGTCATGGTCCGGCTAGGTGTCATTTGGTGAGATCTCTTTAAAGATGGAACGAATTTATTTTTAAAATTAATTGTTTTAATAGTTTCTTGTGAATAATAATAAAAAATATTTATAACATTAAAAAAAGTTTTCTCTCCATCTTAGTATAAGTTTGTTCATTTCTTATTTTCTTTGAATAGAATCAGTTTTCTGTTTATTACTTATTTGGTTAAATTTCAACTACTTTTGTCATATATTTTTGTTACACATTTTAAAGAATTATGGTGCATGTTAGATTTTCTTTATTGAGATAACATTATATTATTTACGTTTATTTTTTTCTTTCAATTAAGGATATTAAAAATATTTCTCCCTTTATCCACTATTTTTTTAATATGATGAGTTAGTAGTATGCTAATTTAGAAACGAAAACTTATACAGAGTATTGTATAATTATATTGATGTTAACTGTGTAACAAAAAAAATAAAAATAAAGCGTAAGAGTCATGAAAATATTACTCGTACTATACATATATATGAAGTATATATGTTGTAAGACAAAAATAGTAGTGTGAAATAGCATGCATAAAATAAAAAGAAACAAATAATTGAAGTAAATGGACTATAAATTATTTTGATAAAAAATGAAATTTCAAAAATATACTCCGTGATATGCATTTCAATAATTTTTTTATTTTTCTAATATTTTCTAGCTATTTTTCATTTTTCAAAATCTTCAATATTTTCAACTCTTTTCAGTTTGTTCAAACTTCTTCTAATTTTTTCCATTTATTTCTAACTTATTTCAACTCCTTATATATTCTTCATACTCCTAAATTTGTGCAACTTCTTTAGTTTATTCAAACTTATTCTAATTTTACCATTATCTACTCTCCCCGTCCCAGAACACATAGAAGATTTTGATTTTTAGGGGACCGTATTTTTGTGTTGGTTTCAAAAAATGTACTTATATGTGATGAGTAAAAGTATCATGATTTGATGGATAGATTAATAGCGAATAAATGTGATGTCATAAGTAGATTAAAAATTAGTAACAGTAAAAGTGATATTTTAATAAAAATGAAGAAAACATTTGGACGGATGAAAAAAAGGAGAGAGTTTTTCAAACGGAGAAAATATTATTTTATTTCCTTTTAGTTCTTGTAATCATTCCATCACATCATTTATGTGAGAATGTATGTTTGAAAATAAGATTAAGTTATTTGTACCTCAGTTTGTACACCGCAAGTGTACACCATTATTTTGTGCCAGTATGAATGTATGATGCTACGGTGATGGTTCACACAAACCCTAACTGTTACTGCAAATTTTTATTATCGCACTAATATTTTGTGTCAGTGTGAACTATTAAAGTGTTAGTATATATTTTTTGTGTAACTTTGAAATATATTTTTTGGTGTAATTGTAGCATGGTTGTTGAAAATACATTCAAAGCTCTGCGAAATTATAATTTCAAATACAGAGTAATTGCAAAGTAAATGTATAAATTTTTACCTAACCCGGAAAAGAGCAATAGAATAATAGCAACACTATATGTGTTGCTTGAAATCCTTGAATATAAGTCAACATGGTGATCAGTGTTTGAATGTGTCTGCATCTTTTGTTGTAAATTTTAAAGGGTTTTATAATTAAAATGAATGGAATGTTAAAATTTTAATGTGAAGTGAGACTTAGTTTTGAAAAGCTTCTCGAATTTCACATGGTTTTGTATAGAATTGGTAGAATTTCTTCTAATATAGCACAATGGTCGTCATTTCCCATTTATCATTTTGACTAGATTAGTAGATTCTTTAATTTATAGGTAAAGTTTGTTGATAGTTAATATTCTATTGATGGACAATAAATCCATCAAGAATTAACAACAAATAAGAACTCGAGAATTATAGGTTTACACGCTAGGTTTAGCTTGAGGATCTCCATTCGGGTCCTCCCTATTTATACATGCTTTCTACGTAATTATGATAGTTTACAATTCAAAGAGCTGAGACTGATCCTCCATTAGCGCGATCCTCTTTCCTTAGCTACATCTCCGCATCTAGCTGCATTCTCTCCCCTGAATCGGGCTCTTCCAGCTGTCTCTTCATTGGGCTGGTCCAGGCTCAAGCTCTTGGGCTGGGCCGGAACCAATACACGCTCGCACTGGTAACACCTAGCGTCATTTGGGCGCGATGTTTAGGCCTCCCCCCATTGGGTATCGGCCCATCATACACACACACACAGACACACACACACACACATACACACACACACACACACTATGACTCCTAAAACTATCTAATCATTCATTATTCATTGGGTAACAATTTATTCATTTTGTAGCTTATTTTACTTACTTATTTAATTAAAATAAATAGCAATGTCACATACTCCCTCCGTCCCTAAATAAACTTCCCTTTTTGACTTTTTGAGAATTTAAGTAAGGGATATTTTTGTGTTGACTTTCCAAAAATACCCTTGATGTGATATGTAAAAGTAACATGTGATATGTAGATTATTAGTAAAAAGATATGATATGATAGGTAGGGTATGAAAAAGTAATGGATAAAAGGGGTTTTATAATGAAAAAGAGAAGTTTATTTGAGGACAAACAAAAATCGAAAGGGGAAGTTTATTTAGGGACGCAAGGAGTATAATTTTGTAGATCTTTTCGTATGCTTTTTAAATGTATAATTTTCATTTTTAAGTTCCGTACCAAATATCTAATAAATTTAATTTAATACTAGAAAGTCATTCAAGTATCTTAAAGCGTCTCGTGAAGTTCGTTTTATGACGGATTGAGTTCGAGCCCCGGCCCAACGGAGACGAATGCATTGATTTTTTGTGTGTCATTAGGTTGTGTGTCATAGAGTCAATATCATTCAAAGAAGTATAGAAAGAAGGAAAAAAAGAAACACGAAACAAATTAATTGAAAATAAACACGTCAAAAAATTATAAATACGAAAGAGAAAAAATGAAATAAAAATATAAAAAATATCCTAATTTTTTCAAAAGATAGAATTCATAATTTGAGTAGAAATAAGTTAATATTAAATAAAAATAAAAATGTAATCATTGCAGTAGAAGTGAAACACTACGAGTATGAAGTGAGTGAGATGGTGAGTGGATGGAGTCAAAGCTAATCGGGAATGAGTATTGATGGAGCACAACAGATAGGCTAAACCGCTAAAGTAAGGCCAAGTTTGGAGAATAATATCAAAATTATACATTTCGTAAATCTCACTTTTTTAAAAAAAGAAGTTTAATGGGACTGAGAGAATATTCCTCTCCGATTGATTTCTTTATACTCCCTCCGTCCGGAAATGATGTTCCCGTTCTACTCTTTTTTCCGTCCGGAAATGATGTTCCCATTCTACCTTTTTTCTCTATTCTTCCAAAATTACCCTTTCTTCCTTCTTTTCTTTCTTTTCTTCCATTCTTTTCTTCCTTCTTTTCTTTCTTTCCATTCTTTTTTCTTTTCTCTTTCCTTCTTTTTTCTCCGCCACCCCTTTTCCTCATCTCTTCATTTTTTTTCTTTTTCTTCTCTCCTATTTCTCCTCCATCTCTGCGGATTCTTCCTCTTCCTCTCTTCGATCTTCTTCTTCTTCCTCTCTATAGTCTTTCTTTCTCCTCCATCTTTCTTCTTTATCTTCCCCTTCTTCTTTTGCCTCCATCTTTCTTCTAGATCTACGCATATGCATGGCGGCGATGGCGATGGTGAGTCTGCACTAGTGCACTGCTTCCTCTCTTTCTTCTTTTCTTTCTCCTTATTTTTTCTTCTAGATCTATACCACAATGGTAGCAAAGGTGGGGCTGTGGCGGTGATGGTGGTCGGCTAAATCTGCAGTAGATCTGTGTCGTTTTATTCTTCTCCTCCTTATCCTCTTTCTTCCCCTTCTTTCTCTCTTTTCTCTTTCTACCATATATGGTATTGGTGGAGGCTATGGACGATGGTAGGAATGGTGGTGACTACGACTGAGGTGATGGTCGTTTCACTACAAGAATTTATCTGCAACGGAAATCTGCTACGGGCACATATCCGTAGCAGATCTGCAACAAATCTGCAACGCAAAAATAATTTCTGGAAAAGGAACATTATTGCGACGGAAATACACTTTCCGTAGCAGATCTGCGACGGAATTTGCAACGAATGTAATTCCGTCGCAGATAATTAAATAACATTGGGTTATCCTCTTGTCAATCTACATAAGAAATCAGTTCACATATCCGAGCCCAGACATCTTCCGTCCACACAACTTCAACTGACGCATCTCCTTTGCGACTTTCCTTGACCGCCCGCCGCCGCCGCGGCGCTAGTCCTCCTCGCCTTGCCGTCGACCGCGCCGCGAGTGTCTTCCTCCAAGCCTCGCCTTCGACCGCTAGTGTCTCCACCCCTCGCCTCCAGTGTCTCCCTCCCTCCTTGCCGCCGCCGCCAAGGTCTCCATCACTCGCCGCTGCCAGTGTCTCGACCGCCATCTTCCCCCACCTGACCTCCTCTTCTTCTCAAGGTATTTTTTTAAATTTTATACTGTTTATTATTATTGTAATTTTTTGTGAAATTGAATTTGTTTGTGTGAAATTTAGTGCATTTGTGGTGAGATTTAGTTCGAATTGTGTGAATATGAGTTTAAATTGACATGAAATTGGGTAAAAATTGCATTACTTTTTTGTGAAATTGATAGCATTTAAGGTGTAATTTTTGTTGAAATTGTGTTAGTTAATTTTATGTTTATTGAAAATTTAAGTAAAATTTAGTTGAATTTTGTGATATATGTAGTTAAATGATTGTTGTTTGTGGTTTAATAAGATTGTCGTATTGTTGCTATGGTTTGTCGGTATTGAATGTGGTTGATATTCTTGGTTTAATGATTGTTGTTTGCCTAATTATCAGGTGTTTCTAAAATGAATCCATTCGAAAATCGAGTTGATGTTTTTTTGGGAGAGTAAATAGAAGCCCAAACAATACCGAGGCACTGTTAGCTGACCGTTACACAAACCGTTATCATCCCTCCATAGAGATGTACTGCTTGAAAGGAAAATTAAGCAAGAGATAATACTATGTTAAAGCTATAATGTGAACATTTGAAACCAAAATTATTACTGGAGCACAAAACATCAGAGACAAAAAAGAATAAGCAATAGGGGCTGAAACACTCTAAATGCAAATAGTAGAGGAAACACACCTAAATATGGGGTAAACCAAAACATTCAAGAATGGCTAACTTATACCGTAAAGCACAAGGAAACAAAAAAAGAGGGCTAACCATAAATTTATGATATTCAATGGCGATGGTGTAGGAATTAAGGTATAAATAACACTGCGGAGCATTATTGATGAAAACTCGATAGTATAACGAATCGCATATAAACACTTTCACATCAAAGTTATTTCTGGGTATACGAAATACTTCAATCGAATAAAACGTTAATAAACAACAAGCACTAGAAATCCAACCCTCAATCCATACCACGAGACTCTATTTTATAGAGTCGAAAATTTATGATCGGACATGAACGTTTGCGTAGACGCGTACGTTCACGCGGAGAAGAAGAAATGCGCGAGAAAAAGATCCTACGGTTTTGGAGTAATATTTGACGTTATCCACTCGTTCGAGTCCTTTATTATTTTGGACCCCGATCACGAAAATCTTAAGGATTTTCATAAAGAAAAAACGTCCGAAATAAATTAAACCGGCCCCGGCCGGGGCCTACCGCCCCCGGACCCCACTGTGAAGTTGTAATATCATTGAACGAATGCACACTATGCGCCTCCTAACTTGTTTGACAACGTCTATTTAAATTCTTGTCCGATCTAAGTAAATCCAATCACATAAAATAAACGATGATACTAAAATCACCAACAGATGGCTTGAGAGAGATGCTCACTGACAGTGTTCAATTCATTGGCGAGGTCATTTGGAGTTGGGCGTTCATTGGCGAGTTGAGGGGGAGGGCATTAATTAGTGTTGGAGCTTGCGTTCGTTGGCAAGGAGAGATGGTGTCGATTCCTACTGAACTTCAGAGATGGGAGCATCGATTGCCAAGGATGGCAGTGAGAGATGGCGTCGGAAGGTAAAGATGGGGGTACGGTGTTGACTGACATAGATGGCTAGGAGAGATGGAGTCTGAAGGTAGAGATGTGGGTGTCGATTGCTAGAGATGGAGTCGATTTGGGTGTTAACGCAAATTTGATCTGGTCGAGACGAAAATGAGAGTTGGATAGATGTGAGTGGAAAAAAGGCAGCACATATTTTTTTATCCGACGTAACTTGTACGTTACTAAAATTTTTAGTGCGCAATTCCAAAATTTTTTATGCCCATATTTTACCCTAGAGAATAGACACTGGTTCTAATTTATCCGTTGTATAAAGTGTGTTGTTAAATAATCATTATGTAGTAGTGGTAGAGAGCCTAGAGGAAGTAATTCTAGAACTCTTTCATCGATTGGGTTTCTATATAGTATCTACATTACTACACACAAAGAGTCATTGCATACTGATGGGCCGATACCCAACGGGAGGCCCAAACCTCATGCCCAAGAGGCGATTGGGTGCCCGTATGGGTGTGTGACGGTCCTAGGCCGGCCCAAAGGCCTGGGCCTGGACCGACTCAAAGGAAATGTAGCTAGAGAAGTCTGAATTGGAGAAGGAAACACAGCTGGATGCGGAGAAATTGCTGAAGGAAGAGGATCGCGCGAATCTCGGATTAGCTTCCATAAATTGTAAACTACCATAATTACGTAGATGACATGTATATAAACAGGAAGGACCTGATTGGGGATCCTCAAGCTAAACCTAGCGTATAATTCCATAATTCTTCAGTTCTTGTTTCTTGTTAAATCTTTCGATCCGCCTTTCAGAGTCGGATCTTTTGGTGGATTATTGTCCATCACATACTGACGGGTCAACTCCTCGTACTAATTGGCCAGCTTCTAATTAATGTCGTTGGTTGGGCCATTATGCAATGTCAAGTTAGTCATCTTAGGCTATCTAGTGTATCCACCTCAAGTTTCGATATTTAATACTTAGTAATTTAGATCATGTTCTCTTGGTTTGATTTAATTGGATCTGATTTAATTTTATTAACGTTTTGTCATATTCTAGTTATATTTAAATCTATTTCGTATAAGTTGATTCTAGTCACTGATCTCATTTTAATTAGAATAATACCCCCAATAGTAACTAAGTTGAATAGAACAAGCTCTTGTCACAATCACCTTTGTCACAAACTACATAAATTAAACTTGTCATTTGTGTATTTATATTATAATTTTTTAATAAATAAAAATATATTATTCTCTTGGTAATTAAGGTATGCAAAAAGTAAATTTGTTTAGTTTGTGACCACTTTTTTATAAATTTGTTATATATATATATATATATATATATATATATATATATATATATGGGACTTTTCCTTTTTAGGAGGGATTTAAGGAGAGTGTATTTTGGTATTGAATTTCCAAAAATGTCTTTTGATGTGATGAGTAAAAGTATGGTTTGATGGATAGATTATTAGTAAAAAGGTATAATGTGATAGTTAGGGTATGAAAAAGTAAGAGGTAAAAGTGACTTTTTAATAGAAATGAGAAGTGTTTTGTGGGACGGATAAAAAAAGAAAGGGGAAATGTTTCATGGGACAGAGGAAGTAGTTAATTATAATATTAAAATTTTGTTATATGTATTATTATAATATTAAATATTATTTAAAAAAATTTATATAGTTTAATTTGATAGGGTTAACGCCCATTTTTTTCGTCTACTCTACATGGGCAAACCGGTCGTGAGCAAGGTGTGTTGGGAAATTGATTAATAATCAAAAGAAAAGAAAAAAAAATAAGGAAGAGGATAAAGAAGATAATAAAGAAAGAAAGGTGATCAAAAATGGAATATTTGATTGATGACTTTGTGCATGTCATCAAATCAAAGTGGATTTTGGTTTCTTGACTTCTCAAACCATGCATACGTAGTATTTCATTGGTTATAAAAACAAGGCAACCATTGAATATGCAAAAAATTGCTGCTAGGTACCCCCAATTATGTGATAAGAACTCGCAGGTCCCATTATTTTTCAAAATATACTCCGAGGTACCTTAAAATATTCAAAAAGTGACTCCCAGGTGACATTCCGTCAATGTGTCCGTCAATGTTTCCTTTTCCGTTATCATGTTCTCCTTCTTCATTTCTTCTTGTTCTCCTTCTTGTTTCGATCTCCTCCTCCTTTTTCTTTCTTCTTCTTTTTTTCTTCTTTTTTTGTTCTTTGTTCTTCTTCTTCTACGCCTTCCCATCCAATCAGTCTCCCATCCCTCCCCTTTTTTCTTCTTCTTTTTCTTCTATTACTATATTATTATTATTTATTTTATTATTTGTTATTGTTATAATCTTTATTTATTATTATTATTATTTTATTTAATTAGTAGTTTGACTAATCTAACTTTTTTTTAGTAGTTTTACTACTCTAAAGCTTTAATTGAAAATTACTTTTAGTAATATATTTATGTATAGTTTATAAAATTAAAATTATTTATTCACGTGGTTATAAATTATACGTCGTAATTCATAATAATATAAAATTTAGAACTATTTTTTATTGTTTCATACGTAGTATTATCTTTAAAAAAACCCAGAGACACTTATTCATATTATTCTTTTCTCAAGTCCTCTCGTTTTCTCGATTTTCCATGACACCACTACCCATGGAGACTACTGATGACTAATGTGTGGCTAATGCGAAAGACAACATCGGATGGAAAAAAATAGAGTAGTAAAACTACTTATAATTTGTTTAACAATAATATAATAATAAGTGTTATTTTAAATAATAAAATCTATTTTTCTAAATAATAATGATTATGGTTTTTGAAAAATAAAGTAATAAAACTACTAATTAATTTTTAATAATAATTAAGAAAATCATAGGAAATAAATAATACTATCTCTCTCCCAAAGTATCTATCAGGTTTTGACTTTTTTAGTTAATCATTTTTAATCTTTGACCTATAATTAAATAAAATATATATTGTATATTAATTCGATAAAATAATATTTTGAAAATATTTTATATAATAAATTTAATAAAACTATTTTTCTATCAATATCTATCTAATATCATTTTTATTTAGTTTAGAGTTAAAATTTATCAATTTTGAATGAAAAGTACTCCCTCCGTTCCAAAAAGATCTACAACATGTTTCAAAAAAAATTGCGTCCCACAATCTCCTTATCATTTCTATTAAAAAACCAATTTTACCACTTATTTTTTTAAATCCTACCTACCACATCATATTTTTTTTCTAATAATATACGCATCACATCTTACTTTTACACATCACATTAAGGGTATTTTTGAAAATTCAACACAAAATTATCCCTCCCTTAATTTCAACTTTAGTCAAAACGTGCAAATCTCTTTGGGACGAATGGAGTAATTAATATGAAGTAATAATAATAAGTACTAATTTTTTTATAAAAATTACAGAAGTAAAATTACTTATTAATTGCATTAAATAAATAATAGCACTAATAATAAGTGTTTTGTATAATACGTTTTATTTTTCTAAATAACAATTACTGATTTTTGTAGAAAAGAGTAGTAAAAGTAATAATTAATTTTAAATAATAATAGTAATAATAA